AGGTGCCTCTGTAAAACTGCGCTTCTCATTCGTCTCACTAGTAACATATGTTTGTAGCAAATACTTTAACCTGATGTAATCTAATCCAACATTAGTATGTTTTAGTATAATCTACCGTCATGCAATGCAATACAGTCTTGCATCAGTGTTTTTTAGTATAACAGGTTTTGATACATGCACAAAATTATAAGTACTAAACCCCCAAACCCCAAAACCTTAAACCCAAAAGCCCAAAACTCCAAAACCCCAAAACCCTAAACCCCTAAACATTCAACCCCTAAACCCCTATAACAGTGCATCTCTTCATCGGATCCCTGCAGCTCCGGACTCCAAAGGCTCTCCTATCGGCAAATCCTAAGAGCCTAGCAAGGTTTAGGGGTTTAGGGGTTTAGGGGTTTAGGGTTTAGGGGTTTAGGGGTTTAGGGGTTCAGGGGTTTAGGGGTTTAGGTGTTTAGGGGTTTAGGGGCTTTTGCTGCACGCTGTATCGAAAATAGCCGAGTTACCCTATGACTCCAAAGAGCCCAAAGCAGGCACCATTCTAGACTTCAGGCACCCAAGTAAGTAGTATTTGTATGCTTGGAGTCGTAGGGCTACGAAAACACCATCACAGCAACTTCTTTCTAGACAGGCTGAATCTCCGCAGTGCTGTAGCCTAGTAGCTAGTACGTAGATAAGACGGTAAATAATTAGTTAACACATGAATATGTGTGGATATATGTTGATGTGTCTATACATATAGATATATATACATACATGCATGCATACATACATATGATCCCGTACATACATATGTATGTGTGCATGTGTGTATGTATGTATGTATGTATGCATGCATGCATGCATGCATGCATGCGTGTATGCTTACAGACATGTGTGTATATGCAAGCTTATATGTACGCACATACACATACACGCATGCACAACCATATTTACACAAGCGAATATATATATATATGTATAAGTATGTATATATGTGTGTATGTTTTCAGAGACACACACGCACACGCACAGAGTGGTCCAGTTTTCAGGAGCGTTTATTTCTGGTCTTTGTTCCACTCTCTCTCTCTCAATCGGTCGATCGATCTATCTATCTATGTACCTATATATCTATCTACCTAGCTATCTATCTCGCTCTCCCTCGCTCTCTCTTTCTCTCACTCCCTTTCTCCCTCCGCGTTCCTGTGTGATAAATCTGTTTTGGATTCCGCAAGGGAGGGCTCCGAATACATGTCCAAGCCAGTACATGCTCAGGTTGCACGCTGACATTCTGATGAGTTCTGTTCTGGTGATGCGAAGCTGTACCTTGCTTTTTCTCACGACAGGTCCCAAACCCTAAACGTCTAAAGCCTAAACCTAGCGCAAGCTCCTCTGCACCAGTGGAGGTCCCAGAAACCAGCCAGGCACCCCTTCCATGCCACTCCGAACTACTTAGAACACACTGGCTTGAATTATTGGAACAGGGTTTTGGTGTATATAAGAGTTATAGCATGGTTGTAGGCTTGTACGTTAAAGAGTTGCCGTTCCCGTTTACAAAGGTTCAAGACTTCACCTGGCGACCTGCAGCTGGATGGCACATGGTGGGGATAGGTGCAGAGTATCCTGGGTTTACCCATAGGCCCCTAAGTAGTTCCTTTTTATGGTTTATGTTTAGAATCCTATAAGGTAATCCCAAAAAGGAACTACTTAGGGGCCTATGGGTAGGGTTTAGGGAATATCATTTGGATCACCTTCCTGAAAAAGCCAGAGCTGCTAGGTTCTCCAAACCCTCATAGAAGGCTTGTAGCATCCCTTCGGGCAACCCTAAGCTTTTCACTTTGAGAGTTTGGATTCCGAGGTTTGAAGCCTATACCCAACAACCCGAGAACTCTGTCTTAAGCTTTCTACAGGTCATGCAGCCCAATGCCTGCAGTCATCAAACCCTATACACTCAGCCTAAATCCCCCTGTGCGTTTCTGGCGCAAGGATCTACATGCTGCCATTCACGCTTCCGGTGAACGATGGGCTCTACGGCTACAGGAGTTGTTTTGGGGTTGTAGTTTCTTGGAGTAGTCCATTTAGAGTTTAGAGTTTTGGGGCTAGGGCTCGTATGGTTCAGAGTAGCCTAGGTAAACCAAGGTAGCCTAAGAATGTAGATCCTTCCGATAATCACAAAAATTGAAAAGTGTCATATAGCTGTGCGCCTCTGCGTGTATGATATATGTATGTACATATATACATATATATATATATACATATACAGATAATTATGTTTTCTGTTCTAACCTCAACCCCAAAATCAGGCTCGGAATCGTAAGGCGGGCCCACGCAACATCAATGGATGTCGGGTGGGTTTTTTCAATGGAGACTTTGGGCAGCGGCCGACAGGGAAAAGGTGCAAACTGCAAGCCCCGGCACCCTAAAGCCTACTCCCTCTAAACACGTACAACCCTATTCCCTCTAAATCCTAAACCCTAAACCCTATGACCTCTAAACCCTAAACCCTAAACTCTCAACCCCAAGCCCGCCAAGCCTGTAAGACCGTCGGGGCGCGGGGGAAAGAACGAGCCCCAAGGTGCTAACCTCGTCGGTTTAGGAATTTAGGGTCACGCAGATTTTGTTCTCCTTGTTTGGAGTGCTGTCCTAAATACAGCTTCATCATACCCCGAAGAAATGAAGTGCAAAGAGTCACCCGGGATTTCAAGTATCCAGGTGCTAGCTGAGGTTTTTCCTATTTGGACTGTTAGGGTTCGGAAAGGTGTCCAATCAACCCATCACGTAGTCCTCCAGGGGTCGCCGTTTTTGGTCGGGATTGCCCTAGGTAACCTTAAACCCTAAGTATTTGTTGAGTGCTTCGAGTTCCGAGATTTGGGTTTCTCCAGCCACTGAGATTGTAGGACCAGTTTGCAATTTGTCATGCAGTGTTCGCGTGTCTAAGGCTCTCCGCCCGGTATGAAGAGGCATGACAGGGTGCGATAGGATACAGTTAAAGGTTTGAGGCATCAGTCATTGAAAAGGTTGCTGAGTACGTATTACTGGGGGAGCTGTTGGTTCAGAGGGGAGTCTAGTTGTAGGCTCATGTACGGCTTAGGCCTTAGGCACGTCAAGCTTCGTGCGACATGACATTCATCACGCACATATACCGAAATGGGCACATTGAACAGCAGACAAGATTCAGATCCCAAGACCCTCAACTCTAAACTCTAAAGCCATTCAGCGCCAGAGACCTCTAACCCTCTCCCCACACCCCACCGATTTTGATGCAGAGTTTATCTTCGGGCTTAGGGCATTGTGTCAGCGGCGTCCTGCTGGAGATCCTAGTATGGAGGGACCCAAAATAGCGCTTAAAACGCCAGGATCTCGCCAGTATGATTTCTGGAATCCCCCTTGATGGAACCGCCCATCCAGAAGGTGGTGTGTTGGTGCCTTTTGGGCCCTTGTGTTTCAGTCTTTCAAGAAGGTGCCAAGCTACCTTGCCAGCAACTAATAAGAACGATTCCCTTAAATGCCTCCCCCTACCCTAAACCCTAAACCCCAAACTCTAAACCCTAAACCCTATACGTTTAGGGTTTAGGAGCCTGTAATGCTGAGCCATTTCAGTCGAGCCAGGCAGTGAAGCTGGCCCATGAGCGGATGAGGAATGAAACCAACAGGGTCAAGGACCGGACCCCGGGCTTCGGGTTTAGGGTTTAGGTTTAGGGTTTAGGTTTTCAACTTTCAACTAAGGTGTTTGTTGGGGGACCTTTGTTATAAACCAAGCAACACTAAGAATAAGGTCAGTGATGGCGATACTCATGAAAGCACAACCAAGTTTCATGGTGATGGTAGCAGTAGTCGTTTCTTTGATCGCAAACCATTGTTGACAGCACTAGCAGTTTTAATGATGATAGTAACTTTAGTTGTTGAAAGCATTAGCAGTTTTCATGATGATAGTAACTTTGGTTCCTCAATGTTCCTACATCCCTAGAACCTAAACCCCAATTAAAGCCCTAAGCCCAAAACCGAAATCCCTAAACCCCTAAACCCTAAACCCTTTAAGCCCTGAGCCTGAAAGTATAGGCTGCCGGGTTAAGGGCTCTTTGGGTGTGGGGTTCAGGGTTTGGGGTTCAGGGTTTAGGGTTTGGGGCTTTTACGGTTTGGTCCTGCCGGATGTCGGGCTGAGGGTTCAGGGTTTACGGGTTCCGGGGTTTCTTAAGGTTCAGAGTTTAGGGTTTCAGGGTTTAGGGGGGCTCTTAAATCTGGGGGGCTTACATAGGTATGTATCTAGGTTTGCGCTTCCAGGGTGAGGTTTAGGGTCTATAGGGTTTACAAAGCCTATAAACCTTAAAGGCCCTAGGAGATGGGATTTAGGTCTTAGGGTTTAGGGTTTAGACTTTAATCCTAAATCCTAGACCACCCTAAGGGTTTAGGGTTTAACCCTAAACCCTAGACCACCCTAAACCCTAAAAACCCTAAACCCTCTACGCTGCAGAACCGCAGCAAGCCCCTCGAGCCCCACAGTTGAGGTTTGAGCTTGGCAGGCGGGTCTGAGGCTTTAGAGCTTAGGTTTTAGTAGGGTTTAGGGTTTTGAGTTTAGGTTTAGTATAGGGCTTAGGCTTTCAAGTTTAGGTTTAGTATAGGGTTTAGGGTTTAGAGTCTAGGTTTAGCAGGGTTTAGGGTTTAGAGTTTAGGTTTTAGTAGGGTTTGTAGAGTTAGGGGTTTACCATAGCTTGCGTTTTATGGTTGCTTTGCAATTCGACGCACCGTCGTTTCTGAACTTGTCTACTCATCCCAGACAAGTCGAAACCGAGCCCCTAAACCCTGAAGCCTACAGCCCTAAGGCTTGATCCTTATCAGTCAATCAGGCGGGCAATCCCATCCCAGCATGCCGCAACCCAAAACCCTCAATCCCGAACCCCCTTTAATTAACTTCTTAACTCTAAGCTATATACACCCTAATGCCTGTAATTGCAACCCCCTAAATCCCAAACCCTCTGGACTCGGAAGCCAGCCGCAATGCCCGTTGAACGTGGATTGCTCGAGAGGCTGCTCGAAGAAAGAGGCTGGCCAGGGAAGCGCAGCTGGCGCAAGAGAAGCAGGTTCTGGAGCGGGATCTTGTTATTGTTAATACCGGTCAGTGGTACTACTGTTCTGATTTGTTATCATTTCCATGTTTATGCTTACTGCTATTCTTATTATGCGACTTAGGGTTGCTATGCACGAGTTTCATACTCGCCTTTAGCAGACGGTTCACGGGAGACGGTCTGTAGGCTTCGAGCATTGGAGCTGTTGAACTCAGGTTGTTCTTGAGCTGATTATGGCACCGTCCCTTAGTAGCTGAGTAAGTAACCTTTAACCTTTTTGGGCCTATATATCCCTACCGTTATGGAAAGGTTAATCTTTCTGGGGCTAGGATACTCAGCCCCTACGATCCGAATGCTTGTGTCGCGGCATCGATCTTTGCCAGGCGGCAGAAAAGGCTGCCCGGGAAAAGAAGCTGGCTGAAGAAAAGCTGGCCCGGGCGTGTTGGTGTGTCATCACAGGCTTTTTGGTCCGCTGGATTGGAGGTTCAGGCATTTTGGAGCGGGTGGAACGAGTCTTGCATCTGTTTTTGGACTTCGACTGTTGCAGACCTGAGTGTTGGGGCATCCCGGGGCTCGTGATGTCGCGTCTCTGGTTTGCGGAAGTCAGGTTTCCGACTCTTACAGTCTATACAGTGCCTACAGGTGAGGCGTCGGAGTTTTCGGCTCGGTTGGATTCTCTACCAGTCGGATGCTCAGCTTGCGGTTGGCTGTGCCAGGAGGCAGAAGAGGCTGCCCGAGAAGAGAAGCGGAAGCGGAAGCGGGCTGAAGAAAAGCTGGCCCGGGAGTTGTGCGTGTTGTTCCGGTCGGACTGTTGGAGGTTCAGCCAGTGTTTCAGACGTTGGAGTTGAGGATTCTCAGGGCTTTCCTGCCCCCCAGGAGGCAGAAAAGGCTGCCCGGGAAAAGAAGCTGGCTGAAGAAAAGCTGGCCCGGGCGTGTTGGTGTGTCATCACAGGCTTTTTGGTCCGCTGGATTGGAGGTTCAGGCATTTTGGAGCAGGTGGAACGAGTCTTGCATCTGTTTTTGGACTTCGACTGTTGCAGACCTGAGTGTTGGGGCATCCCGGGGCTCGCGATGTCGCGTCTCTGGTTTGCGGAATTCAGGTTTCCGACGGGCTGGGCCTTTTTTGGCCCCCGTATAGGGCGTTTTTTTTGGTACTGTCGGAAAAGCTCTTTTTCTGCCCTGGGCAGGCCCAGCGCTCCACAGCCTCTCGTGCACGCATGCACAGAGTTCAATCCTCCGTACAGGGTAAGAACAGCCTACCCTCCCACACATGTTTTTTTTTTCTAACCTGCCGCGTGGCCATGACCCAAAAAAGCCGTTCCCTCAGCGGACAGGGGTTTCATTGGCCCCCGTGCAGCCCGGATCTGCAGATTTCTCGGGCCCGAGATGTTGGAATAAAACCCTCCTATCCCAACGACGGGCTTGATGGGCACCCCTTGCCACCTAGAGGTCTCAAAGAACGCCCTCCCTTAGCGCCAATGGGATTTAATTCCGCCGTGTGGGCGGCTTCAATTGGCCCCTGAAGCGAAAGGAACAACTGACAAAAAACACCTTGACAGGCCACAGAAGGCTTTTCTTACTTCCTGACAAGGCTTCATTCAGACATGCCGAGCCTCGGCGGTGGTCTTCGAGAACAAAAGACACCCGGCTCGGGCTTCCTTCCGTGCCTAGTGGGCTCCCTTTTTTTTGATTTTGTGAGCTGCCTTGAGTTTTGACCAGGTACTCAATGTCAGGTTTTGCACGTGTCACAGAGTTTGTAGAAATTTCGGGAAGCGAGCCCACGGGAACTTTTTCGGCTCCGGATTCTGCCTTCAAGGCCTGTAAAACCGGTCCCGAAATAGTGCGAGCTGCTTTTGAAACAGCCTGCAAAGCCTTGGGTTTTGACGGAGTACTCAAAATCAGGTTTGTAGAAATTTCGGAATCAGAACTAGTTTTGAGGGCCTGACGCAGCTAGCATGGAGTTTCGGGACTTGGTTTTGAGGGTTAACACCTATAGGTTTTCGCGAGCCACAGCAAAAGTTATAATTTTTCCAAACTAGGTTTACGGGCAAGTGTTTGGCTTCGGATTCTGCTTTTAAGGCCAGTGGCAGCGGGCCAAAAACCGTTCCCGAAATAGCGCGAGCTGCTTTTGAGAAAGCCTGCAAAGCCTTAGGATTTGACGGAGTACTCAAAATTAGGTTTTGCGGGTTCCATCGGGATTTTTCAATGTTTACATCAAAATCGTTCTTGACGCGTGCATGCATCTTTAACGAATTTCTGCATTGCGGCTTTTGGCCCAAACCCTAGGTTTTTCAGAGCCATCGCGAGAAAAAAACGATGTTGAAAGTAGGTGTAGGGTCAATTTTTGCTTCCAAAATTCACAGAAAATGCATTTTGCGAGAAGAATGCCTAGCCCGGCAGTAGTAAAACAGCACGAAAAATGAGTGCTTATGGGGTTCTTCATAGTGCTTCCAGCTATTGCGAAGGTACCGCTGATGTTGCCTATATGCATGAAAAACCAACCACAAGTGTCGAGTGTCATTGACAAAAAACACATCCAAAAGAGTAATGCTTCTACGTCACCATGCCGCACCCGAATTATTTTTTCCATTTGCCACGCCTTGGCGCTGCCGCGGCGACTGTCAAGATGTTCGCACTGCTTTCCATATGCAACAAAATATAGCACTACAGCCGAAGAATAGATTATAATGTAAGGATGCATGTCATGAGTGTTATTTCTTGTATCCATATGTATGTATGTATATATATATATGTATATGTGTGTACACAGACTGTTATATAAAGATTATGTCGTCATGGTATTAGTATGTCTGTCGTGACGTTCTGCAATGTTGCAAAATGTCAACTTATATTTCGTCTTGTTTGGCTATGTTGAACTTTGTCATGGCACGATAAAAACACTTCATGCTAGACCATTTTGTACTCCACTACACTATACTCTGCTCAACAATCCTATTCGTATCTTCGTTATATCAAGTTTCGTTAGTATCAGTTTCGTCATGTCATGTTGTTATGTTAGGGTATGTTATGTCGTGTAGTGTGGAGCTAGCTGTGTTGTTTTGCCATACTGTGTTATGTTATGTCATTTTGCGTTGTACTCGACTGTGTTGCTTTGTCGTCTCATGCTATGGTACATCGTGATATGCCATACTATATCATGCTATGTTGTGTTTTGCTCTGTTTGTTTTACAACGAACTCTAATCCGCTGTAGACTTGTTCTATTATGTTACGTTGTGGTTATGCTGTGTTGTGTTGGCAAGTTGCGCTCTTGTGGCCTATCATGTTATGTTATCATTTATGTTGACGTGCGGTATATTTTACATATTATGTTACATTATGCTGTGCTGTGTTTCCATGAAATGCTATGAGTTTATATTATGTTGCCTCATATTATGGTACACTGTGCTATGCTATGACATGACATGCTTGGTTGTGTTGGGCTGTTATGTTGTGCTACGTTTTTTAGTTATGGTTTGACCTGGTATTCAATTTTATGACACCATGGTATACTGTATCATGTTCTGGTGTGTTATATTCGACTGAATTCTATTGTTGTCTAGTATATCACTGCCATTTTGTTATGTGATTACATTGTGTTACATGTTGTGGCGTTGTCTAATGGTATGTTGTATGATATCGCATGTTCTTCTACTTTATACTGCTGTAGTACATAAGACTATGTGCCGATTCAGCAAAAAAATCAAAACATGCAGACATTCTATTCTGATTTACTATAACCTATCAAGCTACATCATGCATGTTGTAGTAATCATAATCTAGCAAGCTATATCATGCATGTTGTAGCAATCATAGCGTGCAAAAGCACTATCACAGTGTATATACAATATCCCTTATTAATGCTGTAGACTATTGTACCATGTTAGTTCATGACACTGTGTTGTAGGATGCTGTGTTGTATTCTCTTTTATTACACTACAGTCCATTGTGTTGCATTTTATGTTTGTCAGTTCAGTTCTAATCATTCGATGTCACTGTTGTCTAATATACTCGGTTAACGTGTCTTATATGCTGTGAAGTCGTTATCTTCTTCTAGCTTCAATCATTTGTTACGTGGTATTTTGGTAGTTTAGGATACGAACTTAGAAATCCTAGATCATGGACGTCATCATGGCTGGGCCATGGATGCTGATGAAGAGGCCGGTATTAAACGTGACCCAGCGTCTTGGCCTTCTGACGGGGTAGACTTGACAGATGTCACTAGCCGTCATTGGCGGGTTGCAAATGGGGCTGAGGCACCCTCTCAAAGCCCGTGATACAGACCTTGTGTTTGCAAATGGGGGGGGCTGTTTTTCTAAGCCGGCCGCAGGCCTGCTGTCCAGAACATCCCAAGAGTCCAAGAGCTTGCAGCAGGAGAAGATCCTTCAAATGGGAATAGCCCAGTCAGTAGCTTCGCCCCCCCTACGCTTTGTTTCTACGTCGGCCGCAGGCCTGCTGTCCAGAACATCCCAAGAGTCCAAGAGCTTGCAGCAAGATAAGATCCTACAAATGGGAATTGCCTGGTCAGTAGCTTCCTGCAAGTATAGTCAAACGCAGAGGACCCATCAAATCTGCGCGAGGCCACTATTGACAATAGAATAAGCGAAGACGTCGTGTCAGGGCCAGAAAAGACACGCCAGGAGGGCTGATTTGAACACGTGGGGGGTTTGAAAGAAACAGGGAAAAACACTAGCACATGGTTGGAGCGGAATATGAGGGGTCGGGGCCAGAACAGACGCTCCGGGGGGCTGAATTGAATATGTGGGGGGTTGAAAAAAAGGGGGGGGGTACTAGCACATGGTGGGGGGGGCGATTTGAGCATGTGGAGGGTCGCGGGTTCCCTGCCCTTTGCGGAGTCCCTGCCCTTCACATGCCTTTCGCGGGCTCCTTGCCGTACCAGTGATAGCAGTAGTAGTAGTAGTAGTAGTAGTAGTAGTGGTAGTAGTAGTAGTAGTAGTAGTAGTAGTGGTTCTGGTTCTAGTTCTAGTTCTAGTTCTAGTTCTAGTTCTAGTTCTAGTTCTAGTTCTAGTTCTAGTTCTAGTATTAGTACCAGACTACTAGGGCCCGACATGCTCAGACGAAGCTTTTCGCGGCACGAAAAAGCCCTCTGGGGCCGATGAAGTAATTTGAAGTCGTTTTTTGCTTTCCTTAGGGGTTCATTTGCTCCTTCTGCCCTCCCGGGGCATGAAAAAAGCCTTTTGGGGCTGGTCAAAAATTTTTTCTGCCCCAGGCGCCCCCTTTGCCGCTCCAACAGGCGCGAAAAAAGCCCGCCAGCTGGAAAGTGAGCATGAGAAGCCTTTTCGGGGCGTGAAAAAAAAACCCGCCCGTTTCCGACGCTTACAGTCTATACAGTGCCTACAGGTGAGGCGTCGGAGTTTTCGGCTCGGTTGCATTCCGTACCAGTCGGATCCTCAGCTTGCGGTTGGCTGTGCCAGGAGGCAAAAGAGGCTGCCCGAGAAGAGAAGCGGTTTCGGAAGCGGGCTGAAGAAAAGCTGGCCCGGGAGTTGTGCGTGTTGTTCCGGTCGGACTGTTGGAGGTTCAGCCAGTGTTTCAGACGTTGGGGTTGAGGATTCTCAGGGCTTTCCTGCACCCCAGGAGGCAGAAAAGGTTGCCCGGGAGGCCCGCGAAGAGAAGCTGGCTGAAGAAAAGCTGGCCCGGGCGTGTTGGTGTGTCATCACAGGCTTTTTGTTCCCCTGGATTGGAGGTTCAGGCATTTTGGAGCGGGTGGAACGAGTCTTGCATCTGTTTTTGGACTTCGACTGTTGCAGACCTGAGTGTTGGGGCATCCCGGGGCTCGTGATGTCGCGTCTCTGGTTTGCGTCAGTCAGGTTCCCGACTCTTACAGTCTAGACTGTGCCTACAGGTGAGGCGTCGGCGTTTTCGGCTCGGTTGGATCCTGTACCAGTCGGATCCTCAGCTTGCGGTTGGCTGTGCCAGGAGGCAAAAGAGGCTGCCCGAGAAGAGAAGCGGTTTCGGAAGCGGGCTGAAGAAAAGCTGGCCCGGGAGTTGTGCGTGTTGTTCCGTCGGACTGTTGGAGGTTCAGCCAGTGTTTCAGACGTTGGAGTTGAGGATTCTCAGGGTTTTCCTGCACCCCAGGAGGCAGAAAAGGTTGCCCTGGAAAAGAAGCTGGCTGAAGAAAAGGTGGCTAGGGAGGCTTGCATTTCCACCGCTTGTTTCGGTGCTGTGCGACTCGTGTGACGACTACTTCTGTCAAACACCGGACTCGTGTTGGGTTGGCACAGGTAACAGGCCACGGATCCCAAACCCCTATAAACCCAACCCACGCACCAAGGAGATACCCCGGACCAGACATCCGATAAAGTTTTAATTCGATCGAGCAGTCGGAGCAGCGCTTCCCTACGGCTCAAACTATCCCAGTAGTCGCTTACTAACCACTGTAACCCAGTATAACCCAGTATTTTTCAGTAACTCGAGTCCTGGGGTCTGTTTCGCAGTGGTGTACTTAAATGTGTTCAGGGCTCCGGGTTTGCATTCAGGGTGCCGAAGTTTGAAGTGTATTTTTGTTACTTGGCCTTGGTATGGATGGACACTTTTCCGTCCTCCTAAACCCTAAACCCTAAGCCCTGTGTTGGGACGGGCCCTTTGAGTCCTCAGCGACTCCGAGATCAACGATCCTGGCTTTGTCACTCCTGTGACGAAGGGGTGTAAAGTGTTGAGGCGCTAGTTCCGGAAAGATCGCAGTAAAACCCTAAACCTCCATCGGTCGTGGCTGGGCCTAAGTACCAACCGGAACTGAACCCCAAAGCCAAACCGCCCTCGACACTTCAGCCATGAGGCTGCAGCTGACCAGATTTCCATCTTCTGTTTCAGCCCTCTGGTCCCAAGGTTTAGGGGCTCTATGGTTTGGGGTTTTAGGGTTTAGAGCTTTAGGGGTTTAGGGCTCAAGGGTTCGTGACTCTCTTGGGTTCAGGGTTCTGACTTTGGGTTCTTATTTCGAGGCCCTAGGGCTCCGCTGAGGGGAGCTCACGTATTCACGGTAGGGGCTTTGAAGCTCTAGGTTTGAGGTACATACCCAAAGGCTCCATGTACCCCTATAGTATATACTTAGGCCTTTAAAGGGTTCCTATATCGGTACTTTAGGGTCAAAGTATATACTATATGGGTACATGGAGCCTTTGGGATAGGGCTTCAGTAGTCTTAGTGTTTCAGTGATTGAGGTGGGGCTTTAGATTTGAGCTTCCTATTTGGGTTATGCGTTTTAGCGGCCCTGGTATTGAGGTAGGGAAAATGGGGGGATGACTTTTGAGCTTTCGGCAAGCAGTTCGGAGGGGCTCTTGGGTTTAAGGTTGGAGCTTTCGGGCTATAAGGTCTGAGACTCACTCCCCGAAACCTGGAAACATTGCCCACAGGCTCCAAAGTAGTTCCTTTTTGGGGCTACCTTATAGGCTCCTAAATATGGACCCTAAAACGGAACTACTTTGGAGCCTCTGGGTATACGGTAGTTCGACCCAATCCCCCACCGAAGCCCGGATCAGGCGAGGGCTGTTTTTGTGCGGGCATGTAAAGCAGAGTTCATATGGGTAGTTCTCCAAATTAGGGTCGCTTTTAAGGTCCCCAATATAGTACGGCACCCTTATAAAAAGGACCCCCAAAAGGGACCCTAATTTCGACAACTACCCATATGTTACTACTGCCAACGGCAGGAGTCATAAACGCTGCAGAGGGGATCTGAGGAATAGAAGTATAATTACAATCACAATAAATACTATTGGTAAGAAAAGCGGCCATAGTAGTCAGTGTGAATACATCTTGTCTGGGACATGGTCGTAGTTGAGACTGAAATGAATGAAGCAAGAAACTTGAGAACAGGGTTCAACAGTACTTAGTGATCACCCTAGTGATCAGCCAAGGCCTAACTCAGCTTGGTTCTTGCGAAGGAACCCAGTTTAAGCTACCAGATTCCAAGGATTCATCGTAAAATAAAAAGATTTCCTTAAACTGGTAACTTAATTTACATTTCCTAAACCCTATACCTAAACCCTCAATAACTACTTTTTAAACAAAGAAATCATAATCATAAGGAGCCCTAAAAAGGTAGGTTCTTCAGGGTCCAGGTAAGCCTTAAACCACCATAAAACCAGTAAGGCCCGGGAGAGGTCGCCACTTGTCAGGCCGAGAGCTTCCCCCCCAAACCAAAAAACCTGAACTTCGGGTTTTGGGAAGGTTTTTGAAGTAGGGTCCTTTCTGAGGGTTCCTCTGAGGGATCTTTTAGGAGTTTCTGTAGGGTTTCAGTATTATAAGGGTACTATAAGGGTGCTCTATATGGATAGTTTTCTAAATTACGGCCCCTTTTGGGGGTTCGTTTCATAAGGGTGCCGTACTTTTTTGGATACCTAAAACGGGACGCTAATTTAGAGAACTACGCGCTTAGGGTTTAGCGTCCGCCAAGCCGAAGTACATGTTGATCATAGCATCCGAAGGTCTTGTCGTCCCATGGACCGGGGAACCGGAGCTCATTGCAGAGCAGCTGGCGCCAGATCTCAATGAGCAGCTTTCTGCTTTTGGGTACGAGCTGGGATGAAGTACAGCAAGAACACCGCTCTTTCACATCGCTACGGGTTCAGTTCCAGGTTTTCAAGGTGTTTAGGATTCAGGGTTTCGGTCGTTTTCGTAGATGCTTCTGGAACACCTAACCTCCAGTCTCTGACCCCGAAGCCCTAAACCTTAAACTGCACAGATCAAACTCCGGTTTAGGGTTTAGGGTGCTGCTGGCAGACTCAAGAGGGCCAGAGATCCACACGACCGCTTTGCGCAATCGGTCCCTTAGAGCTTTGAAATCCCAACGAACTACGGTCTTTAGTAGGCATTGTAATGCTGCACCATAGCGGCACCCGTGCAGCAGAATGAATGTTCCTGCTATGGCGTGTATGATACGCCGATAAGCTCTTCAAAACTTCTGAAGTCCAGCCCCCCGCCGACACCCGAGGGTTTGCTCATTATAGAACTTTAGGGTTAGCACAAAAATTAACAAGGGTTAAGCAGCATACTGGGCTTCGACATCACTTGATCCAGAGTGTTTGGGCCGTCGGGGTATTCAGCCGCCCGAAATACCGGTTTGCAAGTTATTACCCCTTTAATTATCCCTCAATACAGTATGTTATTGGATCCCCAGGTGGTGGTTAGAGCTTCGTGAGTGTGTAGTGCCTTCTCTCTGAAGTTGTAGCCAGCAAAGTTGTCGATTGCACGTTGTCGTGGACCTCAAACCCTAAGCCGCAAGCCCTGGCAGTAGTGTGTTTAGTTCGCTTCAGATCGTGTTCTCGTCAAAGAGTCGTTGCCCATAGGCCCCTAAGTAGTTCCTTCTTTTGGTTTATATTTAGAATCCTAGAAGGAAATCCCAAAAAGGAACTACTAAGGAGCCTATGGGTAATTTCTTGTGCCAGTGCGGATGAAGTTGGAAGCCTGCCGCCTGCTGTCAAAGTCCGAGGACCTGCATGCCGGAATAGCTGCCTGCACCTTCTCTGCAGCCTCAGATGGATTCTAGGCCCCTAGGCCCCCCATTAAAAACCCACCTTAAACCCTAGCCCTAGTCTGAATTAGTGGATTCTGGGCTCAGGGACAGGGTGACAACGTCGTGTATGGCTCGTAAGGAACCTCCATCGTCACTGCTTTCCGGAGTTCTTGCTAAGGATTTTAGTTGAAGTTATCATGGCAAGAACCCGACTATTTGCTATCGGAAAGGCATAAAGGGGGCTTTTTCCCAAAGGTCCTTTGGCGAAGTTGGGGATTGTTGCATCGGTAGGCTATACATGATATCTCACCATCATGTTTAGAGCACGGTTGCTCTTGGGACGCTCTCTCTTTCTGCTCTCGTGGGAGCACGTCAACCAAACAAGCGAAGCTTTGCCTTTGTGGAAAGCTGGAGCCAGCTCGACACGATGACATGGCTTGCACGGGAAGGGATTGCTGGGAAGTCAGAAAGCTGGCGAACAAAACATGGGCTGGTAGCCGGACAGCAAGAACCCACAAGCAGCAGTCATATCTGGTTTGGACAATTTCCTGCTGCGTCGGCATGAGCTTGTGCAATCATGCGGGTGCAGCAACAGCTTTCCGCTGGAAAAACAGCAGCCGACAGTCCATGAGTAGCATCTCAACGCGTTTCCTGGTAAAGTTGGCCGGCCGAGTTTTAGCTTGCTAGCAGACAAGTGGATTGAGGTGTATCACGTTGCCGTTTATCATTGAGGTAAAACATTGGCCACAGTCTACCTTTGTCAATTTAGCACCGAGAGACAACTCAGAGATTGTGTTTCATCGGAAACGCATCACAAACTTTGCGATGCATTTACAAATCCCCGCATTTTCCCGCAAAATGTGCCGAAGAGTACAAACTGAGCTTTACAAATCCCCGCAAATCCCCGCATTTTCCCGCAAAACGGTTCCACGTTTTGCAGGAATTTATAAATTCCCGCATTTTCCTGCAAAAGCCCCGAGCGTCCTTTGCAGCAAAACAGTGCCCTGTTGTATTTGTTGCTTGCAAGCACCCAGAGCAGCGAGTTGTCCAAACAACCGTAACAGGATACTCCCCTCCAGCTATCCCCAGTCTTGTCGTCGCTGCCCAGTACGGTATACCAGACTGCATGACGTAGCTCCAGCAGGTTGTTTTCTGAATCCCGGAGCATTCGTGAGATTCG